CTGATTATATTGTTATTTTTTTATATCTTCTTTCTATTTTTTATAATTTTCCTCTCAGATTTAACTTTTTTAATCCTACTTCTATTTTACCTAATTTATTTTTTGACAATTATTCTTCAACTTTCTTTAATTATAATTTTTTCTTACTTTTATTCAATTTAACTTCACATCATCTTTATCTAACTATTGCTATATACAATATTAGAAGCTTTAATAAATCTACTAAAAAAGAAGCTTGGCAAAATTAGTAACTCAATTATAATATATCTATTATAAGCATTACAGAAATCAAAATCTTTAACAAAACTAATTTTTTTTTTGTAATAAAAACTTCTTTATCTATTACTAATTTAACTATTTTACCTTTATAAAAGACATTGCTATTATAATTTATAATTATCTCAAATCTCATATTTACAGTATTTACACTTATTCTGAATATTTTATAGCATTTAATTTTTTTTGAAATAATAGTAAGCTTCACATTATCTCCATACATCTGTTATCAACTAATACTTATACTTGTAACCAAACTCAAAATACAGTAATTATCTAGATCTAATGAGCTTCTCAACTTTATATCTATCTTATTATTCTTATTAATTTTAATATATAAAACAATATTTATAGCTTTTCTTCTAAATATAAATTTATTAATTTTCTTAATAATACTAATATATATAATATCAGAGTTTATTTTAACAACAAACACTTTATCTGATCTAATAATACTAGTAGTAGACATATTGACTACATCTAAACTAACTAATTTAATATATAATTTCTTCTTTCTTATAGTCTCAATAGTAGTCAAACTTCTACTTATAGTGACCTTCTAATTCTTTCTTCTATCTGAACATTTTTGCATACTTATAGCAAACCCTTATATAAAAATACTAGTATTAATTACTATATCTTTAATTACAAGACTATGTTTATAAAAAACTAGAACTCTTTTGCAGATACTCTATTCAATAAGTTATATTGCACAAAACTTTTATTGACAATCAAACTTATAAAAGCATTAAAACAATTTGCTATAAAATCAATGCTTTATAATCTACTTTGCTAATAATACTATTTCTAATAAAGTCTCTTACAAATGTAGCTATAACTACCAATACTCACCTTATAGTACCTTATTATATTTATTTTTCAAAAAATTAAATTATATTATCAAACCTGTTAAAAAACTTACTTAATATTCTAATATCTTTAACATTAATTGTAATATCTCTTATATTAACAAACAGTCACAATGTGACCTTTAACTACTAATCTTTACTCATTTATTCTATATCTAACTATGGCTTCAACATGTTTACTTTATTTTAAAACAACTCTTTTATGCCTATTATCTTAAAAATTCTTTTTTATTCTGTTAACAAATCAACCAAACTGCTGAAAAAAGATGTATTACCCTTACAACACATTCTACTTAAGCTATTAATAGCATTCTTAATTACTGCTACCAAACTGTTTACTTTTTTAATATAAAACTGTCTAATAAACTCATTACTGATTCATCACTTATTAGACAACATGTTTGATCATATTTCATAACTAAACTATACTTAATCTATTAATCAACCTCTTTTTAATAATTTTTAACAACAACAATATCTTCTACTTCTTTAAATTAACTTCACCTAGTACTACTTTCTTAATTCTTCTATCATTAATAAAAAATTTCTTTAAACCCTTTCTCAACTACCTAACAATAAAGCTTGTAGTTCTATAGGCATTAGTTATAAAATACTAAATTATATATATCCTAAATGCACTTCTACTATTACTAGTCTTTTTAACTGCTACCTTCTTGAAAATAAAATTTCTAAGTAATAGAAACATAGTAGAATTTATCTTATTCTTAAATGTAACAACTTTGATTATAACCTTAATTTTACTTAACCTATAAGTTTTGTTGAATATATTTATAAACTTTATACTAAGATTCTTACAAACAGACTTAGTTTTATATTTTTCTCTAATCCTATTTTTTTATTTTTTAACTATGTTGTTCTTTCCAACAACAATACTTCAATTCCTATTTATATTCTAAACAACCTTATTGAAAATATGACTTGCAATTACAAGAACATTTAATTACTCTTACATGATATAAATAAAGCATATAATTCTGTCAACTTCATTCTTTTTAAATATTTACTTTCTTGCTTTATATTTCCTACATCTATTATTAATATTATCTCTAATCTTCTTACTGATCACTATAACTATATAATTACTAATCTTAGTCTTACTTTTTTATATTCAGTTTACAATAGCATTAACCAAGATGAAACTATTACTCTCTTATTGTGATGCATATACTATGATTCACTATTACATATATATATACACAAATATCTGGTTATACTTTACAATTCTCTTGAACTACTAATATTTTTTTTTTAAATATTAAGGTGAGTACTTGTGATCCAGGATTTTCTTGATAGTATATTTGGCTAATGGTTACATTACAACCACAGGAGGCAACTATGGGAAGAGTGTATAACTAGCTACTTGTACAACTTTAGTTATTGTCTAATTTAAGTAGTCCACCTAAAGGTTCTACACTAGCTGCCATACCTGGAACCCACTTGTAGATTCCCTATTTAACCACTCTGTTTTTATATCTATCCATCTATCTCTGCCTACTAATGACTCTGGCTGATGCTAGTAAAAATATGCCATAGCTGCTAAGTCTTTAAAGCAGTTCTTTGGAACTTTTGACCTTGTACTAAACCTTTCAGAATCTTTTGTATCACATTCTTATAGCTGACTTAGTATCACTATGGCCAAGACCAATACTGGCAATTAAAGTATACTATTAAACTGCTATGTTATTGTAGAGTTCACTCTAACCCTGGTATTAGCTTCACAACATATCCTTATTACTTTGGTATTTAATTCAAGTTCTACTAAGCTGCCATTCTAGATAGCCTGAAAAAGTAGATCAAAACCATACATCTCTGGTTTACATGTTTGTTAGCATGTACCTTTTTTCTCTAGAACCTGAAAATTCTAACAGCCTGATTGGTTTATCTAGTTTCTCCTCAAAAACTAGCACATTTGCCTGGTTTCACAAGTTCTAGCTTTATTTTATAAGTCTAGTCTTTATAGTAGTACTGTTAAAAGTTTGGGTTACCTCTCTACTCAGATCTTCCAAGTAGGCTTCTATCTTTCTTTTATTGGTTCCTATGATTTATATTGCCACAAGGACTTATTGTAGTTTTGCACCATCTGGTACCAGTTTGTATTTCTTCATATAATCACAATCTTGTTCCAAAGAACAATATCATATAACTAGTATACAAATGCCATATGACCTGCCAGTCATGCTAGTGCAATATAGATTATAGGTGTTTTATTCTAACCAATTGTAAGAGACAGTTAACTATAATACAGAGACTATTTACAAATTTTTTACTTATAATATTGTTTAATATATTAAGAATTTTGCTAAATATCACAATCTGCTATATTGCAGATTATGTAATTTTACTAAATCTGTCCAATTAAATTATATTATACCTGAACTTAAAATCTGATTCATAATTCAAAAAATCTGCACTACAAATCTAACACATATTCAAGAATTGTGATTATATTTATTTATAATATAAGTAAATATAATACATAAAAAATATAATTAGTAATCTAAAAGTTAAGTTGAGTAATTAATAAATAATTTAATAAAATAGCATTAATTTGTATTTACAAGCAAGAAAAAAATAACTGATTGATCTAAAATTTAATAAAATATATACTTAATTTTCAAATATAACAAGTGTTTTTTATTTGAAACCTTTCTTAACAGTTTCAATAATTAACTTATAATTATGCTAATTTAATAAAAATGGCTTCAATGAACTTCTATCAGAAATTTGAAGATTATTATATAGAAAATTATTGTGTTAGTTGATTTTCTTTATTATCAATCTTGAAATAAGGTATTTAAATAATTATTATACAACTTATAGAGAATTAAGTTTGATTAATATATAAAATAAATTGTCCTATTATAAGATTATATTACTATATATATTTAAGTTATCTTTAATATACAAATACTATTAGTATTTAATATTCAGTAACAAAACTATAGATGAGTTATATATTATATTTAGATTCTAGTATGTAATAACAATTGCTTTGAGAAAAGCTTTATTTGTTTTGCAATAACACACAATATAGCTTAAAACATATATATATTTAAAAATTTTAATATATATACTTTATTTATAATTTTAAAGTATATATACACAAAATGCCTATATATTAATCTTTAAGATGTAAAAAAGTTTTAACATACACTTTACTCCTTCTGTATGTTAATTTTAGATACTGATGCTATGCATTATATAACTTACCTATTATTATTCAGTATCTTCTAATTCACTTGTAATTTACATAACAGCATATAATAATACTAATAACAAAGTTAAACAATTTTAGTTTAGAAACAGATTCATCTAAGAAAGTAATTACAGAATATTGTTATTGATAGAAATAAAAAATGCAATTCTGTAGTAAAAGCCAGAAGTGCTTATTCAAGTTTTTAATTTTATATAAAAAATACAATTTATTAACAAATCATATAGCTAGTTTAATTGCAATATAGAATCAAAAAAATGAACTTGAATTTTCTTATTTATCATTTAAATGATTAAAATAGAAAGTTTTATATATTATTATTACATAATATTTTATAAAAAATTTTATAATTTGCTATAGTAATAGAGATAGTTATGAAATTATATATGTATTTATAATAATTAACTAACTTATACATAAAATGCATTAAGATCATATAGCAATTTTTAATAAATTAGTTTTATTAGACTTAATTAAGTAAAATTTTTTAAAATATACTAAATTTTATACAATAGTTTATCTAAAATAATTTTTGAAAAATTTACATATAAAGGCATAGTGCCTAATTCTATAACAATTATTATAGTAACAAGTCTCTATTCTTAATATAGAATTTTTACTATTTGTTTCATTAATTTGTTTTCTTAAATTCTCTTTAGAACTTTTATCTTCAGTATCTGTTTCATCTATTTGTCTTGTTTTATCTTATTTTGAACTTAAGCCTTATTTTGTATTTGAGCTCTGTTTTTTATTTAAAGATTTTGTATTTGGAATTTGAACATTTTGCATAGATTTTATCATTTTTGGATGTTCTTTATGCTTTAATTTCTTTAAATTTTTAATCTAATTAATATTAATTGTCATCTGTTTATTAATATAAATACCAGTATAATCTTTAATAAATTCTTTTATTAATTTCACAAATTTATCTACTATTCTATTTTCAAGAGCAAATTTTAGTTCACTTTTAGTCATACTGAAACTATAAGTATATTCTTGTTTTTGTATAATGCTAATATAAATGCTATTTTGATATATATCAGAACTATGAATAGAAATTAATTAGTTTACTTCTTTATTTATATTAAATTGCATATTATCTGTGCCTTCAATTATAGTACAGTTTAATGCTTGCATTTGATCAGTATACCAATGTCTAGATACAAGTTTAATGTTAAACTTTGCATTGCGAGACATTTTGAAAATACTAAAAAAATGTCTGCAATAAAAACTATTAGAAATAATATAAAGGCAGATACAAATATATGTATTATTATTTAAAAGAATAATATAATAAAGATAACTATAACTATGTTGATCAAATATAGAAACTTTTCAACTTTTAAGAATATTATCATGATTAACTATATTTAACAGATTTTAAGTGAGGCTTGTAATGCATCATATTTATCTTTAAAATATCTATTTGTATATTCATAAATATTTAAAAGCTAATAAAAAAATAGTAGTTTAATTAAAAACACTTTTGCAAATAATAAAAATATAAAAAACCACAAAAAAAAGCTCTTTCTTGTTCACCTTTGATCAGGAAGGAAAAATAAAAAACAACAATAATAAAGTCACTAAACACAAAACAAAACTCAACAAATAAGTCCACTTCAAGGGCCAAAGCTCTTGTACCAAAAAAAAGAAAACTTCCTCTAAGAGTTGAACCTTTATTGACAGAAAAAATTTATAAAATGCTAAAACTTGATGTCAAAAGAGAAGAAGACAGTAACTCCTGAGCAGAAAAACCTAATAGCATTTTTTCTAAGTGCATTTTTGCAATACAAGAGAAAACAGAAGCAGCAAGTGAAAAACTAGTACCAGTAGTAGTAGTTCAAAACAAGAAAGACTGGCTAGAAAATATTATTCAAAGAAACAACAACTTCCAAGCTTTGGAAAACATGTCTAATCATGGGAGCAATACAAATGAGAAAAATGTAAACAATGACAAAATTAGTTATATAACAACTAATGAAGAAAAACAAGCTGTACTACAGAGGAACAGCATAGACACAGACCTATCTTAAGCTATGCTTCAGCTGCCAAACAGGACACAAACATGTCAGCAAAATTAAAAAGGTGAAAATCAACCTTTGTGGCTTTTTCCTCTAGAAACCAAATTAAGTCAAAAAATAACAATGCACTAATTATTGAAATCTCAGATCTTCATAACTCTCTCAATAAAATTATAACCTCTTTATATGAAGGTCTGGAAGGAGATATTGTTGCAGCCAAACAACACTTTAAAAAAGGCTTAAGATTTCATTTAGAAATTGTCTTTCCAAACCAAGACTGACTAACATATTATGCCATCAATGGCATTAAAATTTTCAATGAAACATATTATAGCTACATCCTAACAGATGTACATAAATCTTTTCTACTAATTAAAGTAAGAAATGTACTATTAGGAACCAAAGAACACATCTTTAGCTTGGTGAAAGAAGTCTTTGAGAATTTTGAAAAAATTGTCTTAATTAAACCTCTACTTATTGAAGGCACTCCTTATATGACAGATCAATGGATTGTCATTTTCGATAACACTAAAGATGCAAATTTAGAAAAAAGAATCCCTAGATTCATATACATAGATGATAATAGAGTAACTACCGAGTAGAAGGAGGCACCGAAAGTCAGTTTTTTTTGTAATCAAACAGGACACATTAAAAAAGACTGTACAATTCCAAGAAGCAAAAAACCTAAGACTACACTATCAAGAATTTAAAAGAAAAAGTGCACAAAACAGAACATCTCTCAAAAACCCAACAGAGAATAATTCATATGTGGAAGGGATAGAAACTCTCTTAACACAAGAAGAAACTTAAGATATGAACATAAATAAAACTTTCTTACAAGAATAAGAAACAGAAAAAATTATGACAGATCATGATATAGATAACAAAACAGATACTGTTTGCACAGAAATTCCTATTGAAAATAACCTCAACACAACACAAGAACCAGTAATTAATACAAACCTGAAAAATACACAACTAAATGAGCAAAGAAAAGTAGATGACTCTACTTTTACATTAGTTGTGTGCAAAAAAAGAAAATCTAAGGACTCAAAACTCTACAAAGTAACCAACAAAGAAAATCACTAGGATGATCCAAAACAAAGAGTCTGTAAAAGCTCTAAAACTAAATAATCTTTTTTAATGAGCTGTCACTCAATCAAAATCACTATATTAAATGTTAAAGGCTTAAACAACTTAGACAAACAGACTAGAACATTAATACTTTTAAAATCTTATAAACTAGACAGTATACTTTTACAAGAAACAAATACCTATAATGCTGCCACCCAACAATTTTTAAAAGACCAATGGCCTTTTGATTCAATTTAAATAGGCAAAACAGCAATCTTAGCAGAAAACAAAAATATAAAATTTAACGATATCAAGAAACTACAAGAAGAAAGAATAATCTCAATGTGTTTCATATTTAAGAAATTCTCCTTTCATGTAATAAATGTTTATACACTACCAAACATTTTAAACAGAACTGAATTCTTCAACAATTAAAATATAGACAAGAAAGAAAATATGATCAATATTATCGCAGGAGATCTAAACACAAACTTGAATACAGATATTAACAGAATGAGTCAAGCATCTCTACAAAATGACCCTTCAAGGACACTACTTAATGAAATCACAAAAAAATTTATTGACTCAGCCTCATTTTCTAAATGAAACCCTTTTTACACATTTCATCAAAATATGTCTAACAACCAAATAATAGCCACCTAGCTAGACTATATCTTTATAGATGAAAACTACAGTCACCTCAAATCAGAAACCAAAACAAGATTTGAAAACTCTGATCATCTTCTAGTTGAATGCACTCTAAACCTAGAACAAAAAGCTAGGCAATCAACACTCTAGAGATTTGATCCAAATTCTTTTAAAAATAATATTTTGAAAAAAGAAATCTTGAATGAAATTAAAGATGCTACTTCTGCAACAAGCTGGGACATGCATAAAATCTACATCAAATCAATTATAAAGGCCTTCAAACAACCAAAAGCTCCAGAAGACAGAATAAAAAAACTCAACAAGAAAATTAATCATTTAAAAGAAGTTATAGCCAAATTTCTCAGACAGATGCATCTTTTTGTCACACTAGAAAATCTTAATTTACAAGTCCAATCAGAATTAACTGATCTGGCACAAAGATGGCAGCATCAGTCAAAAACAAACTGGATAGAACTAGGAAAAAAATCAACTAAATACTTCTACTCATGCTTTAAAAGTTGAAGCTTATGTTCAGCTCTGACAAAAATACAAATCCCTTTAGCTCAGGAACAATCTAATGAAAAAGAAGTGCTTAATTATATTAAAGAACAATACTCTACGATATATAGCAAAGAAGAAATCAATAATGAAATAGCAAAACAAATTACTAAAGACCTTCCACAGGTCTCTACACAAATGAACAAAAAACTAACAGACCCTATCTCTAAAGAAGAAATCTTAACAACTATCCAAAAACTACTAAATAATAAGTCCTCAGGACTGAATGGCCTTATATATGAATTCTATAAACTCACAGAAGAACACATTACACCTATTTTAGAACAAATCTTTAACCAAGTATTAACCTCAGGAATAATGCCCTTCTCATGGTGCAAAAATCTAGTCACACTAATACCAAAGAAATCAAAGGAACTACACAATATAAACAACTAGAGACCTATTTTACTGGTCAACTGTGATGCAAAAATTTTCATGAAAATTATCACCAATAAACTAAATACAATTTGTAAAGTAATTGTACCTCAACATCAGCAGAGCTTCATTACAAACAGATTAATCACAGACTCCGTATTAGATATTCTTACAATATTAAGAAACCAAAAAGATGATACAAAAGAGCACTGGATGCTATTTGTAGACCAGCAAAAAGCATTCAACAGAATAAGTCATAAGTTTCTCTAACTGGTATTAGAAAATATAGGCTTTAACAAAGAATTTAAAGACCTAATAAAAAACCTATTTTTTTAACAAGAAGCCCATATCTTAGACTCAGGATACATCTCAAACTCCTTCAAAGTAAAAAAAAGAGTTAGACAAGAAAACCTGCTCTTATCTCTTCTATACGTATTAGCATTTGAACCACTGCTAAACATGATAGACAAAAACATAACAAGGGATCAAGGTTAACAACTAATCTTTTAAGTATACTGCCTATGCAGATGATCTAACAATAAGCATTAGCTCTCTTTCTGATTGGACAACAATATTAGACCTATTTGATAACTATGAAAAAGCCTTTAATGCAAAAATTAACAAGTTCAAAACTAATTTAATGCCACTTACAAATATAGCAAGAGAAAAAATTCTTTCAGAAGAAACTCAATTTAAAAAACTAGGAAATCAAGACTATGTTACAGTTTTAGGATATAGTATTACTGCAGATAGTACACCAAAAAAAGGCTTATAGCAAGAAGCTATAAGCAAACTTAAACTAAACCTAGAAAAGCTCGCTTATAGAAATTTATCCTTAAAAGGAAAAATTATGTTGGCAAACTTACTGCTTCTCTCAAAGATATGGTATGTTGCTTACCTAATGCCATCAAGCAAGAAACAAATAGCAGAAATCAACAGGCTTATCATCTACTGAATTAAAAATAACTCTAAAATGCTTCTGAAATACTTTACCTTTCAACAACTATATGAACAAGGAGGCTTACAAGCATCAATAATTAGCAATATGCTAGAAGCTAGGCTAATCTCAGTCTGGTTAAAACTAATTTTAAGTAATCTTCTATGGGCAAATATAGAAAGAAAAAGAATCTCTCTCATACTTGATTAAAAAAGAAATATCTCAGCTATAAAAGTGCTTTCTATACAACTAATTAGGACTAAGGCATGGCCTACGGAATGGAAACCCTACCTTTTAGCATGAAAAAAAGCTAAAGGAGAGGTTCTAACAGAATTCAACTGGCCCTAGAATCTTTCAAAACT